CGTTGCTTCAATGTCACCGACGATTGTAGTTTTCAGTATTTTCAGAGAATACGGTTATCAACACATTATCTTTAAAATGTTTTATAAAGTTTTATTGAACGGAATGTGGCTGGTTAGTGCAGCTTGTTTTTAGCGCACTAACTGACCTCAAGGTAAACCCACATTGCAAACATTGTTTTATAGCAATTAAATTCTTTGAATAAAACAGTGAGTGAGTGAGTGAGTGGGTGGGTGAGTGAGTGAGTGAGTGATGAGGCGTACACCACTTGCATGCTTGCAGTCAACCATGTCCAATTTATATCAGGGCTGATGTAATCACATTGGTTACATCTTCTGATCCCCCAAACCCAAATCCAAGACATTCTGGGCATTGGGTGGTCGGGCACGGTGACTTGGTTGATGACTTACGTACCCCGTCATTTTTACGGTAAATTACCAATAGCTGTAAAAATAACTGAATACACCGTATCTTATAACGGTAAATCACCGTAGGTTGTCAAATAACTCCAGCCCTTTACCCAAATTAGACTATGCTTTTTCAAATAAGCTTTTCACCTGGTAAGTTGTTCTTCAAGTAGCCTATATTCCAGCCGAACTGGGGTTTTTTCAGATATAAATGTGCTCATGTACTGCTCGCACAGGTAATTGAGAATATTTCTTGTTTGAATATCTACTCGACTTTTCGAGAGTGAGTGGTGAAATTACAATGCATCATGGTCAATCAATCAATCTTTATTAAATAATACTGAGGCGACCATAGGTGAGTGAGTGAGTGAGTATGGTTTTACGCCGCTTTTAGCAATATTCCAGCAATATTCCAGCAATATCACGGCGAGGGACACCAGCCATGGGCTTCACACATTGTACCCATGTCGGGAATCAAACCCGGATCTTCGGCGTGACGAGCGAACGCTTTAACCACTAGGCTACCCGACCGCGACCTTAGGCCTACAGTACATGAATGCATGGTAATTTAATCATGTCATTGAGTAAGTGCACGCTTCACAGATTCATAAGATTCATTGCATGGGAAAATGAACACTGACAGATTTGTAATTGTGACAGTCTTCATTAGTGGCTAAAAGTTAGGATCCTTGAAAAAAAATAATCATTAATGAATTGCCTTCTAATGTCAGCATAAAAAACAATCAAGTAAAAAGTGATATTTATCTTCCATATTATTAAAACTATATAGTTGACGGATTCTGCTTCACTATGGATTACACAGTGTTTGCCTGTTGCCATAAGGATGTTGTCAGAGCTGCATCAAACTCGGGGAAACGCCCCTCGCAATTTCTGTAAGTTTATTTCAAGCAAATAGCGCTCTCGATTTAAATTTGTTTTAATATCTCAATAGCGATTTAATTTAATAGACAAAGGTAGCGATGAGTCTTTGTGAAACCAGTGATACATCGCTCTGACATATTTAGATTTTGTTGAGTCCAAACAAATAATAACAATGCAGTTGAGGTGAGGTGAGGTGAAATTGGGTTTAACGTCGCGTCCAAGATTATTACACTTATATAGCGACGTGCATGCACGTGTGTGTGTGTGTGTGGCTGCTTGTACTAGTCCGGACTGATGCGGATTTATAGTGCTAGCTCACTGAGATACCATGCCGCAGTTTAACATGAATACCCCACTCAGACACAGTATACTGACTCCGAGCCGACCAGTCCTTGTTTTAGCCCCTTAATGCCGAGCGCCAGACAGGGTAACAACAAGTACCATCTTTTAACGTCTTTTGGTATGACGCGGCCGGGGATCGAACCCCGGACCTTTCAATGCAGTTGAACTATTCATGTTGTATAACACACGATGCCCTGTCTCACCACAGACCATTGTATTTGTAGTGCTTGGTTTAAACTCAATGTTAAACCCAATATATACCGACAGTAACTCACTCACTCACTCCAGACACATCCTCAGACGACGCATGGGGATTCCTTTTTCACAGACGAAGTTTCAAATACTTTTAATGAACATCAATAGAAACATGCCCAAAAAAACAGGACAAGAGGTGAGGTGAGGTAAAATGGGGTTTAACGTCGCGTTCACGATTTTGGAACTTATATACCGACGTGCATGCACGTGTGTGTGGATGTGTGTGCGTGCGTGCGTGCGTGCGTGCGTGCGCGCGCGCGTGTGTGTGCTTGTACGAGTCCGATTTTATAATGCTAGCCTACTGAGATACCATGCCGCAGTTTAACATGAGTACCCCACTCAGACTCCATTATACTGACCCCGAGCCGACCAGTCCTTGTTTTAGCCCCTTAAATGCCGAGCACCAGACAGGGTAACAAGTGCCATCTTTGAACGTCTTTGGGGATCGAACCCCGGACATTTCGTTCTCTGGGCGAAGCTCTACCACTAGACCACGGAGGCGGTCAGGACGGGAAACGGAAATGCAAAAGAATGTAAACGTAAATTATCATACTGAATACTCGGAACATAGAGCTGTGCCCTGTCAGGGCCAATGCCTACAGATTTCTGGCTACTCCAACTGGGAACGGGAAGCACGAGTTGCCAAGTCATCTGAGGCGCTGGAATTCGTTCTGCAGAGTTGCGTCCCTTGGACCGCCAGAAACATATGGTTGTTGGTTCAAATCCCGCTTCGCCCCGATTATGTTTCTAGATTTGTCAGCACCATACCAGCGCTCGTGGGTTTCACCGAAGTGGTAACCGTCTGAGACCTGCATCACGTCAGGCTTTCCTCCCACATTAAGCTGACACGCCGTGATATAACTGGAATACTGTTAGAAGCGGCGTTAAACCCAATTCACTCACTCACTTGGACTGAATAAATCTCACACTACAACGACACCCCAATTAATGAATCTGTTTTAGGTGAAAAAAATTGCAGACCACGAAAAACCAAAATACTGTTTACCCTTAAGTTTGACAGTACTTTTCCGGCATTTCTACTTATCTATTAGGGTAAGGAATTTACATTGATCCCATACAGACGTCTAAAGGCCCGCATTCGATTCGCAGAACTGCGTCCCTTAGGCGCGCCAGAAACTTATGCTCGCGGGTTCGAATCTTCTTGATTTGCCAGCACCATACCCATGTTCTAGAGAATCACTTATGTGGCAGATATCGGGCTTCCCAACCACAATAAGCTGACACGTTATAATAAAGCGAAATACGGCGTTAATCCCAACTCAATCGTTGATCCAAATATCATTAACTAAAAATGTGTCTACAGATAGATTGTTCCCTTTAGAACAAAAGTACGTAGTGAAATAGTCTGTCTTACATACCCTGATACAAATATATCAAATACAGCCCATGCAAGTCTATAATGTTTGGCAAGTCTAGATTACTGCAGTATCTGAAAATGAAGAGAGTCTCTGAGCTCCCTTTTATTATATTTTTATTAAGATAATTGAACAACGGTTTTTTCTGTACGATATGTTCATTTCAGAGATTAGATGTTGGTCTAGTAGTGAAACAGTGAGTATCTTTCTAAAACATCCGTGCAAGTTTTAAATGCGAGGTGACCCGCACTTGTATCCCCTGCGTAATGTCACGTCACAGCGGAAGCGGTTAAAAGGCTGTCTGAATCACGTGATCATATAAATTACTATTTATAAGTGTCGCTGTTGATGAGGAGAGACATTGAGAAACATACTGTCTTCCTTTGAGAACAAACTTGTTAGTGCCGAATGCTGGTGGTCTAGCCGTCAACTGGAACATTCCCCGAGGCTGACGTAGGTCACGTATGTACACTCAAGCTTAAAGCCAGTTAATGCTTGGGTTTACCTACTCGACCTACAGGAGCTAAAAGTCACAATCATAAAATAAAATATAAATTGTATATTATATACTTTTATTTGTCCGATCATTTTATAAAACCTTTTTTTCTGTTCTGTTGCAGTTTCTTTTTCTTTCATTTTTTTTAAATATATATATATTTTTTATATTTAAAAAATAATGATATATATGCAGTGGCATTTGATATATAATCATTGGCAAGTCCGAACTCAAACATCCTTCAATTCAAACAGATTTAGCATATAGTTTCCCTTCTAAACCGACGGAGGGGCGGTCGGGTAGCCCAGTGGTTAAAGCGTTCGCTCGTCACGCCGAAGACCCGGGTTCGATTCCCAACATGGGTACAATGTGTGAAGCCCATTTCTGGTGTCCCCCGCCGTGATATTGCTGGAATATTGCTAAAAGCGGCGTAAAACCATACTCACTCACTCACTTACTCTAAACCGACGGACTTCAACAACTATATGTTAAAGTAAATTGACAATATCTAACAACACAAACTTCTATTTATTCGACCTACCCAATATAAATGTTAGAAAACAGTCAGCCAACCATAAAAGTGTGGCCTTACATAAACTGCCGGGTAAAAGAACGTATACATTTGAAGACTGGATTTGGCCCAAAAATATAAACGTTATAAAAACTTTACTCGGCTGAAAACAGACGCCGAAACACAGCAAACTGATATTTCTCATACTTGTATAATTTCAAAAGTGAAATTTGTCTGAATAATATTTTTCTTGTGGTTGCTTTTCATGTACTAATGTTAAGTTTCAGTAGAATATCCCTTTAGGTCCTAAAACAACATCACCATCGAATAACCACTTCTTTGTTTCATTTTAGTCATTATCAAATGTGGGTGTAACCTTTCTATTGCCCGCCAGTTTAAATGAACCTGACTCATAAAAAAAAAACTATATTTTTTTCAATACATTATGCAATGAACAAATACTAAAATATATGTAGATCTAGATCTAGTCCGTGGTTTGGATTATAATTATCGCTGACAGGGGGTATAACTACAAACTAATAAACACGTCCATATCAAGTTCGGTATTTAACAAATCAATCAAATTGGTTTCCAAAACCAAGGCAATCTAGATTCAGTAACAACTGGTCGTACAATACTAACATTACATCATCAGATGAGCTTGAAAGGTCAGTGTGACATCTCGTCTTCTCGGTGACGTCTGTACTTCTATCGTGACGTCAATCTATGACGTCACATAACTTCCGGTAGAATGAGTACACGCAAGATTCGACATTATGCAAACCTTTCGTTTTGTCTGGACTTTTGGCCACCTAAGTATTATCTATGCATTGCTCGTAGGTAAGTATGAAGATAGCGGTTCATGTATGTTTGATTGTACATGTACGTAAGCTTGCGTACATGACAAAAACTAACATGTTTCCAGGGTACTGTTCGCGTTTTGGAAAGGATACCCCCAAAATGGCGACATAGGCGAAGTAGGCCTATATTTGGTCATGTGATGAATCAACATTAATATCGTCCGTCATGTTGAAACAACAAAAGCCACAAGATATTTCATATATGCCGTGCTGTTAAATTATGTTGAACTCGCAGTAAGGCGAGTAGAAGTTAAATCATTGTCGGTGCCTCATTTTCAAATAAGCCTTTCGGTTCCTAGTTGTTGTATTCGAATATCCACAGTTATCTTCATTCTACGGTTTCGCTTCATGTTGTTGTTTTTGTCTCTAGAACTATTGTCTTTATCCGGTTATCAGCTGCAGGTGCTGATGGGTTGCATCATTTCTTTCTGTCCCGCCAACCCATCTGCCTTTCAGTGTAATTGCTCCGAGGCCAGCGTTGACGTGAAGAGTTATCTCCCTTACCTATCTCCCTCCGAATTCCTCACAGAACACACTCACAGTTACATTCTGTTTCGAATTAGATTCTGCCAGAGAGAATGAAGAGATTTACCTAAAAAATATAATCTAATCCGGGAAAAAATAATTTTGCTCCGTTTTTGCATCAACAACGTGATGAAGTTCGAGGGGTGACAAAAGTGCATGTGTTGACAGTTGCCAAACAAATATATTTCAAGTTGTTAAACCATTCCCTGCACGGCTTGATTTACAGGCTTTTGCCCGACGAAAATTTAATATACTGCGTCCTCTACGCATACGATTTGAGAATGGACCCAAATGATGTCATGGGGGAAGCAAACATATATATATATATGTTTGAGTCGTTAAATTTATCAAAATTGTAGATTGCATATTACCGTATTCGACGTAATAAGCGCCCACGGCGATATTTGCTAATATATTGGCTAGTGAACAATCCCAATTAGCACCCCTTCCGATTAATCAATGCACAAAAGACTTATTTATTCGCGAATAATACGCACTCGTGTGTTATATGCACCCTTATTATGGGCAGTTTAATTCTGGAAAAATATATCTGTCGTATATAAACATTTCAGGCTGTCAGCATAAACCACGAAATTTATCTTTCAACTCTGGTTTTTTTCACCAAAATAATGTTCTAATAAGGGCCCCCTATTTCTAATTTTGAGAGCACCCTGGGCGCTTATTACATTGAATACGGTACATTGAAACCCGCATCTATAGTAGGCGTAAGGCTTCTGAGCATGTACAGTGATTATTATTATTTTTTAATCGTGCCACATGTCGACAGCTTGAGACACCAGTGTGAATTTCCTGGGTCCCCAAAATATATTACTGAGACCCCCTTGGACAGGAAAATTGATAGACCAGGGTTAGAAACTAACAGTTTTCGTCCACTAGTCCTTGTAATGATAACATATAGCAAAACCCTTAAAAAGGGCAAATTTCTACTAGTCCTTATGATACCTTTACCATTGGGCAGTTTGGCAAGGACTATAGGACTAGTGCCAATTTCTAACGCTGTAGACCCATGTAAATATTGTAAGCAGGGTGTGTAAGGGGATAATCCCTTTCGGTGGAGATGTTGGCCATCAAGCAAAGTGTCACCCTCGATTATCCAGTGCATCATTTCTCCAAAGTATCATAAATATTGTTCATAATTAATACAATGTGGATATAATACACTTGATAATCGAGGATGGAAAAAAGTAACTGTCTCCCAGAGAATAAATCACGTTAAAAATTCAACATAGTTTGTGAACTATCAATAATTTTGCTGAAGATAAATCGGACTAGGACATTTTCGTGATTTTATAAACCATGATATTGAATGAATAGTCTATATTTATACAGTTGGTCAGTCAATGACCAAGGTAAAGAACTGATCTGAATCTCTGAGTCTGACAATCCCAATTTCATCATCGGACACCATTTTATGTACTGTGGTGTTTTATGCTTTTCAACAAGTATAGACTTTCCAAAATATATTACACAAAAACTGAAAATGCGAGTTTAGATATTTCTGTAAACCAGGGTTTCATTTTGGTTCCTCTCCAAGGACATTCACTGATTGTCATCCGGGATGTCTTGAAGAAGTTTTCTGAAGAATGTCCTGTCAAAAGTTGACAAAATCTTGAAAATGTTCTATTACCTTTGACTCAAGCAAAATCACCTCACACGTGATGAGTTTATGTTTAATGCCATGGATGTGATTTGTGTCAGTGCAATGTCCCATGGAGAAATGGAACACTGGATCATCGAGGATGATACGAGAATAAGTATTTATTTCAATTTCGCAAATCATTTCCAGATTTCCATATGGTCCATTACTAGGATACTGACAGCTTGGGATTGTCATCCAAAATGTCCCAATGAGATTTTGTTCAAATTTGCTAAATATATTGAAGCATGACATAGTTATTTCCTAAAAAAATAATTCATACTGACGTAGTACAGTATTATGACACGAATTATTGATTAAATGTCATTTCGCGTACGTTCAAATTCACCAAGAAAAAAACAACTATCTGTTTTTCGACCACGGTTAATTCTTTTTCAATACCCACAAGCTCATAAAAGAAGCTTAACACTTAAATCGGAAGAAATTCAGGGTAATTTAAAAAGGAAATAATGACAACAAAAAATAAAGTAATCACAAAATATTGCAAACCATAAAACAGTTTCAAGTTGTTGATTCGCGATTTTATAGATCATTGATTCAGTCGATAACAGTTCAAATTTTCTTGACTAAATTTCCTGTTTTCAAAATTGCTTTGAGCTCTGTCCACCAAACCATGTGACACAGTTCACGCTTCCTGTCTGCAGAGTTGATGCCATTCTAGCAAAAACACTTGTCAAAATAATAACAATTTTTACTGTGATCATCCGTTATCACAAAAACCATAACACTTGTGAGTGAGTATGGTTTTACATCGTGTAAGCAATATTACAGCATTATCACCAGAGTGAGTGAGTATGGTTTTACTGCGCTTTTAGCAATATTCCAGCATTATCATTGCGGGGGACACCAGAAATGGGCTTCACACATTGTGATCATGTGGGAAATCGAACCCTGATGTTTGGCGTTACGACCGGACGCATTAATGTCTAGGCTACCCCACACGGGTAAATTGTGTGAAGCCCATTTCTGGTGTTCCCCGCCGTGATATTGCTGGAATATAGTTAAAAGCGGCGTAAAACCATACCCATTCACTCCGTCATATCGCACATGATATAGTGTAAAGTGTATATAATCTTCAAATTTATTTAATTATTTTCATTTGTTGTATCTGTTGTCATTCTTCATTGTCAAATGTTTATCAAAATTGTTTCAGTTCTCGACGGCGTGAACACACAGACTTCACACGCTCAAATAAAGCGTGAATTTTCGCAAGAGGTGAACAACGTTCGCAAAATAAATACGTCGCGTTACCATGGGAACACCTACGAAGAACTCCGAGTTATATTTGGTATGAATAAAAATAAAAAGACTCACCCAACATCACAGACGCCTCTCAACCATGCGGCCAGTCCAACAAACACAGAATATGATAGCGCGGGGGGACACGACGCTGAGAGTCATGGACAACCTCAATCTGTCAGAAAATCGCAGCAAGTGGTTGAGTCAAATTCAAACGAAATTGACGGCGTGAGGAGTGGAAAACGCCATTTTCAACTTGGACATGCTGGCTTGGCAACTCGTCGGGAATATACCGTTTCTTCCACGGTAAAAACTACAAACATGTTTGTTGGTAACGGAAATGTTTCTCACATTGTGAAAACATTGACGTGGAAAGAAATTCAGAGACAAAAGTTTTCCCACATGGTCCAAGGTGAGTATATGTATTGAAGTGTTCAAGTGAGAAAAATTGTTATTTCAGAATTGATATAGTCTGACGCCTACCGTTTGTTTGTTTGTTGTTTAACGCCGCACTCAGCAGCATTCCAGCTATATGACGGCGGTGTGTAAATAATCGAGTCTGGACCAGACAATCCAGTGATTAACATCATAAGCATTTATCTATGTAACTGGGATACGATGACATGCGTCAACCAAGTCATCAGCCTGTCTCCCCGATCCCGTTAGTCGTCTCGTGACAAATGGACGCGCTGATTGCACAGTATATAAAATAAACCCAGGAATTTAAAAATTGAAAAGGATCTTATTAATGATACTGACTAGGAAAGCGTACAAAGTCCTAACTTACAACAGCTTGTCTAGCTCATGATGACTTGGCATTCACCGACCTTTAGAATTTAGAGTAAAAAACTATTCTGTTTTTATTTTTGAGCTGGTTCATCTTTGACAAAAACACTGCTAGATGTCATCTAAGACAGAACGTGTAAGCCTGGAGTCTTAAAATAAAACATTTAACGGTTCTTCAATACATTTCAATCCCTGCTTATCAATAACAGTGAACATGTATTCAAAACAATTAACTATCCGCCCCTGCATGTTGGTTCCTTTAAACCAATCCGAGATATGAAAACTCGGAACGTTACCGAAAATAAACACACACCTGGACTTGTCCCGCGCATACATATTTATCGTCCAGAGGGTTTTTGTGTGATTATTCCTGTTAAATTCACACGTATTTATCAGGAGGTGCGATTTAGGAATATGGGTTACTTAGCTGGAACATTGTCTGATCGTTCTGGAATATTTCCAGACCGCAGTGAAGGAGCTCGAATATATTGCCGAGTGCGAAACAACAAACAAATCTTACTAAAAACCTGTTGAAGCGTCGTAGAATCACACTTTTACATCCAGAGCGACGTCTGTTCCATTTGGAGAAGTCAGATTGCACGTTGTATTTACAGAGTCGCCGATGTTGCTGGGGGCAGGTGTTGGAGTGACCGGGAGTGTGATAGTCGCACTGATGGTAACCGCCATCTACTTGATTCTCAAACGACGCAGGTGAGAATGTTGAGGAGAAACAGAGTGAGTGAGTGAGTTTGACATTGTATTAAGTGATCTCGCATTGTGTCAGCTTCAATCTCATAAAAATCCCATGTTTGTTCTTTGTTTGTATTTTAACGCCGCTCTCAGCAATATTCCAGCTATATGACGGCGGTCTGTAAAAAGTCGAGTCTTGAACAGAAAATCCAGTGATTGACATCATGAGCATCGATACACGCAGTTGGGATATGATGACCTGCATCATGCATGTCAGCCAGCCAGCCAGCCGGCCAGCCGGACCACTGATCCTGTTAGTCGCCTCTTACAACAAGCATAGTCGCCTTTTACGGCAAGCATGGTTTACTAAAGACCTTTTCTACCCCAGATATTCCTGTAGTAGCTGTCCCCCCCCCCCCCCCCCCCCCCCCACACACACACACACACACACCAAATAGCTGTGCGTGCCCCTTTTCCAAATAGCTGTGCGTGCCCCTTTTACAAGTAGCTTTATCCGCTTTTGTTTTCCTTAATCATTTGCGAATCATTGTGTGATGCAGGTTGCGGGTTGGTTCTCAATCATCTGGATGGTAGCTATTTGAATGTTTTCTGTTCAAGGACTCGATGTGCGAAGTTACAGGAAGTGAGTTTTGGCACACCCAAAGAGGAGAAACCTATATACATCAAACTGTCTCAACTACATCGACCCAAACGTAGCCCCAACTATGTCGTCACAGTGTAAGTAGTTGGCAGTGACCCCTGGGGGATACCGGGGTAGAATAGGTCCCCAGCAACCCATGCTGCTTAAAAACGTATGATTACATGGCGTGAATCGTTGCTTTAAACTTGTTTATAACATCAGTCAATGCATTGTTTGTCCCAGACTTGATTATTTACAGGCCACGGCCTAAATAACAAACACAATTACCCCATGTACATTGGCTACTGTTGCCAAAACAAACCACAAAACTACCTTTAAGATCGCTCATAATCTGAATTTCGTATTCATACGGATGAGTGAGGGGATGTTGGTTTACGCTACACTCAGCAATATTTCAGCCATTTCATGAGGGCCTGTAAATAATTGAGACCCGTGAAGATCCGGGGTAGAATAGGTCTTTAGGAACCCATGCTTGCCGTAAAAGGCGACTATGCTTGTGTCGTAAAAGGCGACTAACGGGATCGGGTGGTCAGGCTCGCTGACTTGGTTGATGCATGTCATCGATCCCAATTGCGTAGATCGATGCTCATGATGTCAATCACTGGATTGTCTGGTCCAGACTCGATTATTTTACGGACCGCCGTCATATAGCTGGAATATTGCTGAGTGCGGCGTTAAACAACAAACAAACAATAATGGAGTCTGGGCAAGTCAACCACTGCTTGGATGACAAACGGTCAACGCCGTGCGTGACAAAAAGTAATAATAATAATTATAATAATAATAATGCCAACAATGGGTGAATGTTGTTTTACGCCCTATTCGCTGTCGTGGCACCATGGCCTGCAGTAGGTCAGGTCCCACATTGTAACACAAGTTTCATTATTCTGCTCTGACATCACCAGGGGATTCCCCCGGAATTCCTACGTGGTGTATTCGCCAGAATAATGAAACTGTTTACAACTGTCAACTGCCTTTGGTAACTTTACGTTTTAATGAATTCGTTTATTCCTATTGGAAATAAATGTATCATTAACTCGGTTTCACACTAAATGTTCAGGTGTTCTTTAATTCAAACGTTTTGATGATGACGTTACTATTTATTTATTACAGTATTATTTCTGTGAAGACCTTATTATTTTTGTGATGACATTACGTTTGACAAATAATCCAAATACTTCCTCAAACTCTGAGCGTCAGTACAGTTTGACATTATTTGCTATCATTTTTCAAACGTGTGCTGAGAAAATCAAAAGTTTTTCTTATTGTCATGGTTTCGTGGTTTTAGACTGGACGAGTCCAACTTCTCTGTGGACAGTGATGGGAGTTCCGAGGAAGAGCTGTTTGATCTGTCGACTGTTGTGGGAGGGGGAGGGAGTCCATGCCAGAAAAACAAGTAGGTGTTTCCCCTATGGTGGTATTTTAGATTTGGGGTCAGATCAAAATATGTTTTAAGCACCACTATGGGTGAATGGAACTTCGTTTTTTGGAAAACTTCACGAACTTTTTTTTCAGTAACATGGAACATTTATTTGGAAGAACACGATTGTATCCAATCATGAAATGTTTTGTGCATGCGAAGCAAACATTTATTAATTTTAGTTGAATTAAATGTATAATAATGGACATGAAATACTACTCTTTACAGTGTCCTTGTAATAGGGTCAGAATACCCTGCCCTACTTTGTTTAAAGTTGGTTAAAAACTAGAAGGTGGCCACACTGCGTAACCTCGTTTGCCGTAATGTTGAACCTGGTTAGTCATCTAAACTACCGGGCAAAAGAAAGTATACACCCATAAAATATTTTGCTTGTTTGTTTGTTGTTTAACACCACACTCAGCAATATTGCAGCTATATGACGGCGGTCTGTAAATAATCAAGTCTGGACCAGACAATCCTGTGACACATAATGAGCATCGATCCACGCAATTGAGATCGATGACATGCATCAACCAAGTCAGCAGCCTGACCACCCGATCCCGTTAGTGGCCTCTTACGACAAGCATAGTCGCCTTGTATGGCAAGCATGAGTTTCTGAAGACCTATTCTACCCCGGATCTCCACGGGTGTATACACTCATGTTTGATGGCACACTGAAAATGAAACAAACGTGAAATGGTTATTCAATTGTGTGGGGGGCACGAGTGGCCCAGTCGTCTAAGGCGCCGCGATTCGCTGTGCAGAGTTGCGTCCCCTGGACACACCAGAAACTTATGATTGTGGGTTCGAATCCCGCTTCGCCCCGATTTGTCAGCACCATACCCGTGCTCATGCGTTTCACCGATGTGTGGTAAACGTCTGAGACCTGCATCACCTCGGGCTTTCCTCCCACATTAAGCTGACACGCCGCGATATAACTGGAATACTGTTAAAAGCAGCGTTAAACCCAACTCACTCACTCACCCACTCAATTTTGTGTATTGGATTCGGGTATCATATTTTATTCTGAAACATAGATTTGCAGTGTTTCGGCGACTGTTTTCAGTCTCGTAACTTTTGATTTGATTTTTTTAGGTCAGATCCAATTGATGTATGCAGTACACTTCAGTTATCACGAACACAAAGGGACCACTTATTTTAGTTCCTTATAACCGTAGTTCGTTATAAGCATTTCGACTTAATTTCCTCTCTAGTCATCGCATTTAAAGACAGATTTATCCACTTCAAAGACCATAGTCTAATCACTGTTTTACTGTTGTTATTTAGGGCGTAAATTAGGGTCAAGATGTTAGTACTTAATCCAATTAATTACTTGCTTTCGTTTATTTTTTGCCGTTTGAAACAGCCGCGCATGCCCTTTAAAATCCAATTTACATTTTGGCCTTTTTACGAGACAACTGTAAAGCCTGTTCATGTATGCGACTGTTGCCGAAAGCAGTCGCTGCACAAGAAATTGCTGAAAATGTAAACAGGAGCGACAAAGTGAGCTTTCCGCCATATTGTCCAGTGTTTACTATTTTCATTGTACCATATGTACCCGTGCTTTTTAAGGGAAACAATTCACTTGTCTTTGCATGTGTTTGTGACCGGTGCAACCGGTGGGGCATGATATTTGCGTATTTTCTAAAACATTCTAAACGATTCTAAGGTTATTGGTGACGTTTCAGAATGATCATTTGTGATTTATTACATTACAGATACCCGTGATCACTAATATCCTATTTTTGTAATTACATCCTTCGAGTAAATATCCGATATTTAGATTTCAAAACATCCACGAACTAACCCCATCAATGGTGATTTAGTAATGTCAGAAATGGCGAGATTAACGATGTACCTAATTGTTAGGGGCCGTTTCAGAAATTTATCTTTGTTTAAAATGACATTGAATGATATCACAGAACATGGGATTTCCCAATAAATTCAAAACTGTGAAAATGAAGAGAGTCACTGGACTCCTTTTTATTATATTTTTATTAAGATAACTGAACAACTGTTTTTTTCTGTACGATATGTTCATTTCAGAGATTAGATGTTAGTCGATGTATTTGTGTGCGTGATGTGTTTTATATTCGACTTAAAAGTGAGGGTTGAGGAGGAGTCATGTGTGTCACCGTAGCGTCCAGGGGGTTAATCAAGTTTATCACCCATAAGGTTAGAAATTACCGAGTTCATAAACATCGTATGTGCTCTTGTGCAAATATGACCAGTGTATTGTTTACGTCATGTGGACGGCATTGTTGACGTTCTTCGAATCTTATTGTGACGTAAGGTCGAAATGACGTTACACTAGAAACGACGTCTGAAGCTGTTGACGTCATTCGACAATTATGGTTTTCTAAGACGACAGTCGTGATCAGTGCATTTTTCTAAAGGGGAGCTAAAATCAGTATGACACACATGCTCGTTTAATAATCTGTTTATTAGTTGCCCTCGAAGAGATCACTCGTTTAATAGTCAGTCATGATCACTAACTATCATCTCTCATCTTCACAGTTTACGGACTTTCAACAAGACGTCAACACCGACGAAAGACAACCGCTTCAGGTGATGGCGATTGTTTGCTGGGCTGTGATACCCTTGAGTGATACAAAGAGCAAGAAGGACGGTTGGGGCAGTGTTTAATAGCTTAGCAGTACATTTTGATCAGAAATAGCAGAACAGTGACCATATGTAGCGTTTGTAATATAGCTCTTGAACAAATCCTGATCATTGGTGGGAACAAGCATGTTTTGATTCAGACTCATTAGCCCTGTGAATACTGAGGAGATAATGTCTTGCAGTGCGAGGAAATGCATGAGAAAATTTAGTAGCATGGTCAAAGTGCAAAGGTCAAATGGAGATTAGAGGAGATGGTGTCTACAGACAAGCAGGCCATGACATAGCTCACTTAACTTTCCGTCAGGTGAGCTAAACAGTCCTGTTTTAATGAGACTGGACAGGGGTTGGGCGAGGCATTACTGAGTTGCAAGATGCCTATAAAACAACACATTGTATATGCATGTTTCAAAAATGCCCCAGTAGGTGAGGAGAAATGGGTTTTAACGTCGCGTCCAAGATTATTGCATTCATATAGCGTGTGAGTGTCTGCTTGTACTTGTCCGGGCTAATGCCGATTTTATAGTGCTAGCCCACTGAGATACCTTGCCGCAGTATGAGTGACTATGATTTTACGCCGCTTTTAGCAATATTCAAGCAATATCACAGTGCGGGACACCAGAAATGGGCTTCACACATTGTACCCATGTCGGGAATCGAACCCGAGTCTTCGGCGTGACGAGCGAACGCTATACCACTAGGCTACCCGACCGCCCCCTTGCCGCAGTTTGGTTTGTTTGTTTGTTGTTAACGCCGTACTCAGCAATATTCCAGTTATATGACGGCTGTCTTCAAATAATCGAGTCAGGTTTCTGACATCGTGAGCATCGATCTACGCAATCGGGATACGATGACATGCATCAACCAAGAAAGCGAGACTGACCACCCGATCTTACAAGCATAGTCGCCTTTTACGGCAAGCATGGGTTGAAGAAGACCTATTCTACCCGGATCTTTACGTAGTTTAACAAGAATACCCCACTCAGACACAGTATACTGACTTCGAGGCGACCCTTTAATGCCGAGCGCCAGACAAATACCATCTCCTAACGTCTTTTGGTATGACGTGGTCGGATCTTCCGCTCTCCAGGCGCACGGTTTACCACTAGACCACGGAGCATATATACCAGTAAGCATGTATCGTTATTTAGTACTATACTCGTATGGCTATTTAATACACCATTTCTTGAAAAGAGTATTTAATATAACTTTATGTGTTCAGCGAAACTGTTTGTGGGTGTATCTGGATATCACAGCATCAGCTGACATACTGCATGTGTACCTGAACCAAAATCTGGGGCACCTTTCCAGTCCAGGACTACACGCAATAAGTGTTGTGTGAATTGTGATATTGTCTTTGTATAAGGTTATCATTAACTTTAATACTGATGTGCATACAAGTAGAAGACAACAGACTCAACAGACTGAGAAAGTGAGTTCTTAACGACTAGTTTCAATAAAATCTGCCAATTAGTTCTATCCTAGTCTTGTTATGACGGTGTATAGCCGAGGTATATATACATCCAGGTGTTGAAATTCAGTGTGCACAGACGGTTGTATCTCGCGATTTATAGAATAAGGTCGGTCGATATGTGCGAAAGGTGAGTGAACATTATTTCAATTATATCACGCCTTGTCAGATCGGTATGGGAGACAAGGTGAGTGAGTGTGTTAAACTTTAACGTCGCCTTTGCATTATTTCAGCCATATAGCGTTGGGAACAAGTTGATATTATACATAAGTAACACATTTGGGCATAACAATATTGTGGAGGAGAGGTGAAATGGTATTCAAGATTATTGCAATTGTATAGCGACGTCCGTGTGTGTGTGTGTGTCAATTTAACATGGATACCCCATTCACACAATACAGACCAGTCCTTGTTTAACCACTTCTTGCCGAGCGCTAGCTAGGCAAGGTAACAAGTACCCTCTTTTCAATGACGCGGCTGGGGATCGAACCACTGACCTTCCGCTCTTAGACCCTCTCCACTAGACCACAGAAGCGGTTGGCGAGAGATAAAATCTCTAAGTGATGCAGGTCTAACACGTTTTACCACTTTGGTTAAACCTAGCGGTATGATGCAAACTAACTTAGGGGAATTTGGGGTTCGAACCAAGGATCACAGATTTCTAGCACGCCAAAAGGGTGCAAATAGCTATATACAAAGAGATGTGTACACAATCTAACAGAAACTCCGCACATGATTTATGCAGCAAATGAAAGACTTTATTTCCAAGTAAAATACCAAGTAAAGAATTTTTTAATATAAAATCAGAACTAGAGATGACTACGGGAATGTAATGAAACTTATATAGGAATGTACATTTTTCAATATCTTTTGATTTAAGAACTTTGCAGAAAGCAAATCAGTTAAAGTTCTCTAAAACAAGAATCGAGAATGTTTTACTCTTTATCATCACAGAGTGGGTAAAATATCTTAGATTACAAATACATAATCTCATTACAAATAAATATGTAATAATTATCTTATGAATTATTGAAACTATTATCTACTTCAACATGAAAATTGATAATAAATAAGGACAATTTGCCACAAAATAAATAATGCGTCATAAAAGACTGAGGCAGAATGCCAAGATGAATGAATGATTAAATAAATAGTACCTTAAGACCTTAAGTATATAAATGCACAGGATAATCGAAGATTCTGTTACGTATTCTTCAAAGCAAAGAATACTTTGTATGGAACAAGTATTCAAACAAAAACATAACAAGGAATACGTAACTCGAAAATCAAAATTATCAACTTTCATCTTATCGATTTCTCTGACATTGAGCCACCCAACCCATTGTCCTTTCAAATATCCACTCGTTTGGTTCGCAAAAGACAAAACCAACGAAAACTCCATTCGTGTGAATATAAACCGTTCTCCCAGTTCTAAAAACCAAAACAAACTGGAACGTCAGTTTTGCCGAGGACAACACCATGTCCTTCCAAATTTCCACAAAATTGAATTAGATATTTTCCAATCAAAAATCTCACGCCTCGTCCCTAGTATCTCTGGGGTCCAACCGGAAGTACAGCATTTGGGTTGACGTAGTCCGACAGAGAGTTTGCATTGTAACTTGCGGTCGACGTGGGCTGGCCATAGTACTGATAAAAGGCATTCTCCACGTACATCCCATATGCATCTCTCTCCAGATTCGACATCCTGGCTGCTGCGTTGCCGACAGGGGTGGAAATGGGGTAGTCGGGAGAGAGAAAGGTGTTAGGGTACATGCGGTTGGCGTTGGTGTCCAGATCGCCGTAAATGTGCGACTGTATGTGCACTCCTTGAAGGTGCAGTGGAGAGCTCGTGTCGCGGTTCGGATCTGGACAGTCAAATTAAAAGACTCAATCAATGTTGTCAAAGAATAATCACATCACAGACGGATACTGACATAATTTGCTTACACGTAATGTAAAATACACACATTTACATTATCTTACATTGTAATACAATACTCGTTTCTATTTGGTTACTGAATGTTTCCCATATACACTAACATGGTAGATACAAAATTGATATAGCCCGAACATGTTACCAGTGCGATTACAATGATTTGAAACTGAACTATAAATGCAGTTTAACGAACTTAACCGAGCATATCCGATTGCAATGCAACGGTTCGCTAGCCATAAACGGGCAAGATCTATTCGTATTTAGGAATGTTCGGACAATCAAGTCTCTACGCAAAACACTTAACTTCCTATCCGGAGTATGTACATATCAAATACAACCATTTGAAACTAAAATGTACCTCGTATATATGCTGCTTCATCTGTAACTTTAGCATATTTTCATTTTTCGATTTACAGACGAAGTCAAAAGCCGTCTATCAAACTCCAAAAAAATAATATATAAATTATGTTTTTTCACCTGCCCTTTTGTTTGTTGATACTTAAATTGAACCAATAGAACAGTTTCTACAAAATTCAACCAAATAAATAACTGCTTAAATGCATAGTATTATCGGAGTTCACTGAAAATCAACACCCTGGAGCGCTGTGCCTGTTGATGTGATTACCGTGAAAAGTCATTCACTCGAAAAGAGGATCAATTGTTACCATTGGCATCCGTCCTCCCATCCGTGTCGGACTGCATGTAGATCAGCCCCTGGCTGGACTGGGTGGTGGTTGGGGAGGTCATGGGGAGGGGGGAGATGTGCATTCGCTTGCTGCCAGATTTAATATCCTTGAAACTGTCTGTTGATTCTGAAAATGTAACCAGCAACATACTTTAAAGTTGACCCAGCCAAGCAATGATGAGAGAGTAGGATTTAACCTCTCTTTAAGCAGTTAGATCATTATCAAGGTGTGTCAGCATAATGTTTGTTTGTTGCAATGTTTCTATATTACGGCGGTCTGTATTTAATCCGGTATGGACAAGACAGTCCAGCGATTGACATTATGAGCATCGATCTATGCGATGAGGATACGATGACATGCACCAACCAAGTCAGCGAGCCTGACAGCCGATCACGTTAGAAGCCTCTTACAAACATGGGTTGCTGAAGGTCGATTCTAAACAAGTCGGAAAGACTTCGCCTGTAACCCCTCCAAAAGTTTTATATGTATGCATTGCCACTCGATGATCTTAATTATATATATATATATATATATATATATATATATATATATATATATATATATGAGGGGGATACGGGCGGAAATATTACCCATAAACATGTCAAATTATTATTTTTTACTTACCTTCACAATGTATTTCATCAAAGCACTTAATGATTTGTTTGTTTGTTTGTTGATTAACACCGCACTCCTACATTCAAGCTATAAGACGGCGGTCTGTAAATAATCGAGTCTGGACCAGACAATCCAGTGATTAACATGAGCATCGATCCACGCAAGTGGGATACGATGACATGCATCAAACAAGTCACCGAGCCTGACCACCCGATCTGACAAGCATAAGCACTTAATGAAATTACCTCCTTAAACAGACATGTATGATATGATGAAATATATTCTAATATAATTTATGTATAAACCATCTTGAATGTCCTGTATATGACCATTGTAATTTCTGCTCATGTACCACCGACGATGGTCGTTTCAGAGAATAAACAGAGTCCAGGTTGCCAACATTCCTGAGCCACGAGCATTAACAGCGATGCATTTCCGTGTTGTCGCTCAACGCCAGCTGCATGCACACCATCCGTCGCAGAGCTCACCGATGTTTGACTTTTTGCGATGCCGCGGGGTTGCATGCCGCGTTGTTATAACTGACAAACCATGCTCATGCATTCAAGTTCATTCCACGAATGTCTGTTTGGGCATCAAGGCAAAATAACGACAACAATTATTGAAAATTCATCGATTGACTGCCTGGCTATCCATGGTCCAACTTGTGATAGCAGTTCTTTGAAAATTGTGGTCGCCATTCGAAAGTTAGTAACGGCAGCGGTATTTGGGATGAATCTCATTTCTTGAACCATATTCCCGTAATGTTCGAAAGCTTCGCGTCGACATAGTATTGGACGAAAGCATGTTCCGTCGACGGTTATATCTGTATATGCTTTCGTTTGTTTGTTTGTTGTTTAACGCAATATTCCAGCTATATGACAGCGGTCTGTAAATAATTGATAAACAATGCAGTGGTTGACATCATGGGCATCGATCCACGAAATTGGATAAGATGACATGCATCAACAAAGTCAGCGAGCCTGACCACCATATCCCGGCAGTCGCCTTTTACGACAAGCATGGGTTGTTTAAGACTAATTCTACCCCGGATCTTCATTGGTCATCTGTATATGCACCACAAAAACACTGAGGTGAGCTCGCGTCATTTTCAGAATCAACGCGGGAAGTTTACATAGGTCGCGCGTTTGTGATGACAGTTCATCGCACCCAACTTGTCGCTGTCGAACTGTGGTAGACTGTGACGCGATGTGCGTAGAGGTCATGCCCCATGTGTATTAGTCAATGACTGGCCCACGAGTTGATATTCCTTGTATCGACTGCACGGATAATGCAGATCTGCGGGTTCAAGTGTCAGATCCTTATGTTGCTACAGATTGTTTTGTGGTTAGTCGATGCTTTCATGAAGAGTTACCCCTCTTTCCTCCCGCCATGGTCATCTGCGCCTGCGTCGCTCGAGTGGGCGTGGACATTGGGCTATGACTATGAGGTATACCCATGTCAAACATGCTCGAGCCAGACGCCATATTGCTGCCTTCACTACGACCACTGCAAACACACAAAGACAAGTCATGAATATATTTTGAACAAAGCATTGATTACACTGTAGATCACCTGGATTTGAAGTCAACAGTTTAATGTCAATAGCCGCAAGAGATGCTGGACAGTATCAGCATTGTCTCTTTTCTATCTAAGTACAAGTACTTAATTTGAAACACACACATATATGATTATATATAAAACCAGGGGTAATAAGAAATATGAATCCACGATCAAAAGATTCTGCACAGTGACGGGCTTCCTTGTTTGTTTGTTTGTTTCATGTTGTATAACGCCGCAATATTCTAGCTATATGACAGCGTTCCGTAAATAATCGAGTCTGGGCCAGACAATCCAGTGATTGACATCATGAGCATTGATCCACGAAATTGGGATACCCATAAACAAGTCAGCAAGCCTGACCACCCGATCTTGTTAGTCGCCTCTTACGACAAGCATGGTCGCCTTTTACAGCAAACATGGGTTGCTGAAGACCTATTCTACTCCCAATCTTCACGGGTATGACGGGCTTCCAATGTGTGTGAAGCCTGCGATAACGTGAAGGGATACTGTTCATAATACTGGCCACATCATTGCTGCAGGCGATAATAGACAACACGTACCTGGCGTCCATGGTTGAAGATACTCGGGTGGTTGACGGAGATTCTGGGGGGTCCGGCTCTCTCCTCCCAGACCGTCTTGCCGAACCCCGCCCTCCATCGGTTTTTATCTTGGGCAGTACTGCCCCCTTACTCATAAGCGTTATGACCTGAAAGCACAAGCGTGGGCATTCCATGCCTGTAAACAAGTGATTCTGGACCTGGGAAACCTGTGGTTGATAATGTATTACAATGGGTAAATCACAAAAAGAACCCCGCGATTTGTTTGTTTGTTTACTGTTTAACGCCACACTCAGCACTATTCCAGCTCTATGAATAACCTAGTCTGGACCAAACAATCCAATGATTGACACCATGAACAGCGATCTACGCAAGTCGACGAGCCCGACCACCCGATACGGTAAGTCGCCTCTTACGGCAAGCATGGGTTGCTGAAACCAATTACATGGACATAAATACCCTTGTACTATTAAATTCACATGTACGTTTCAAACCTGAGTATACAGTGTAATAAATACTAGTATATACCCAAGGCCCAATCACCTTCACAATCTTTCTCTGACTTAGCACAGAACTTAACTCGCTCAAAAAAAACAATTTGTGACCTCGTTTCTTATTTTTGATTAAGACGATGACAAAATGCATGGCACGTGTGACGTTTCCCACTTTGCTTCTTATGACCGTTCAACGACAAGAGCCTACCTGGTTTTGAAAATCAGCCGGTATGGCGGCATTAACTATCTTCAGATAGTCAACCGTCATTTCTAGGATGGATGCCATGTCCGTCTTCCTGCCCCTGATGTACGGCAGGAGGACCCGCAGCTGGTCGCAGCTGTCCTTGATCCTCTCTCTAGACGACAGAGGGAGAGTGAGCGAGTGAATTTGGTGTAACGCACTGTTGAGCGAGATAATATGGTTTTACGTAGGCCGCTAAACAATATATTCCATGACGGGGGGCACCAGAAATGGGCTTCACGTATTGTAGGGGGCACGGGTGGCCCATACGTCTAAGGCGCCGCGATTCGCTGTGCAGAGTTGCGTCCCTTGGGCACGTCAGAAACCTATGATTGTGGGTTCAAATCCCGGTTCGCCCCGATTATGTTTCTAGGTTTGTCAGCACCATACCCGTGCTCGTGGGTTTCACCAAAGTGGTAAACGTCCGAGACTTGCATCACTTCGGGCTTTCCTCCCACATTAAGCTGACACGTCGTGATATAACTGGAATAATGTTAAAAGCGGCGTTAAACCCAACTCACTCACTCACATATTGTACCCATGTGGATAATCAAAACCAGGGTTTCGGGGTGACGAACAAACGCTTTAACCACCCACCGCATATATGAACAATATTTCAGTTATATCACACCAGGTCAGCTGATTTAAAGAGGAAAACTCGGAGTGATTATAATTGTTCAGTCAGTACTGATATTAGAGCAGGGGTGTCAGTGCGAAGCTACACAAAGTCATTGATCCCGTAAGGTATCATTGTTTTGAGAGCGTGTATCATGTATCCAACAAGGTATCCGCATGTTTTGACGCGTTTAATCATAGTAAGTGAGTGAGTTGGATCTAAGGCCGCTTTTAACAGTATTCCAGTTATATCACGCTTGATGTGGGAGGAAAGCCCGAAGTGATGAAGGTCCTGGACGTTTACCACTATGGTAAACCAACGATCACGTGTACTACATTTTCCCGTGGCAAGGACGTTTAAAAGACCATAAAAGTCCAGTTTCCACCCTTGCCAAACTAGGCTCGATCGTCGCGCCACCGGTGGCTATTACGAGTTGTGTCCCTTTTATGTCCCTCATATTGACAATCAGATTCCATCTCTCACATCACTTGCCCTTGCAAACGATATGGCGGCGATCTCATCGATAATCAAGATCTATATTGTAACTAAACGGGTCTTACCTCACGAAGTGCATCAAATCACTTGAGCACCTTAATCAAACACATGAAAAGATTTGGAAAGTATCTGTTAACGCCCACACAGTAAACATCATTTGCAAATCCTGCACTTGAAATTCATGTTGTTTACGAACCGGATGTCCAGTTCATTACTCCCTTGCCTCGTGAAGATAGGATGTGGTGGTGAAAAAACAAGAAATATATTCGGGGCGAACCGGGATTGGAACTCACGATAATAGGTTTCTGGTGTGCCCAAGTGACGAAACCTTGCATAACGAATTGCGGCGCCTTACACGACTGGGCCACTGGTGCCACCGAGACGAAATTAGTGGGCATTGCTTAAACAATCCAATGAGGCATCCTCCAAACCAGAGCGAAACATGTGGGTGCAAACTACCCATGTCTACACCTGAAAAACACACAGAACTGGTTGACACCTAAGGTGTCTGAAACAAGGGGAGTGGTGCACACAGTTTCTTGACCCGCCAACAGGGACGACTATGGGATTCGAGTGAGTGAGTAAGTATGGTTTAACGCCGCTTTTAGCAATATTCCAGCAATATTCCAGCAATATCACGGCGGGGGACACCAGAAATGGGCTTCACATATTGTACCCATGTCGGGAATCGAACCCGGGTCTTCGGCGTGACGAGCGAACGCTTTAACCACTATGCTACCCGACCGCCCCAATGATGGGATTCGAACAAATGTTGGGCGGGTCCTGGCAAGGCATCGCTTTGCGGCCACTGTACCTAATGTATAAAGTACCTGCGAAGTTTTTCCTTTGTGGTGTGATCAGCCGAAGACGCCATTGTCGGTCGTGCGGGCCGCGGCTGATAGGTGACAGACTGCAAGTTGAAGTTCCTGCATCGCCAGAAGCGGAATTGCATATAAATGAACACACGACATCATTTTCATAAGATTTCAAGGATTTACAGCTTTCATTAAAATTATACATAATCATGTCATTCGAAAGAAGTTCTTTGTTTGTTGTTCAACGCCGCACACAGCAATCTTTCAGCTATATGACGGCGGTCTGTAAATAATCGCGTCTGGACCAGACAATCCAGTGATTGAGATCATGAGCATCGATCCTTGCAATTGGGATCGGTGCCATGCATTAACCAAGTCAGCGAGCCTGACCACCGGATCCCGTTAGTCGCCTTTTATGGCAAGCATGGGTTCCTTAAGACCTGTCCTACCCCGGATCTTCATGGGTAGAGTCAGCAAGTTGTCTCAGTGCCTGCATGCCAGAGTGTCGAAAGAAAAGAGTTTCCGTTTGATATTCAGTTTTCCGTTTTACTGCGGCAACACTGTTTCTAATCCTCTGTGAAACTCTTTTCAAGTTTTCACGGCAACCAGTTTGCAAATGGTATGACAAGGCAACTTATCAGCCAAGAATGTACAACAGAAAACAAGAAAACCTTTGATGCGTTGTATCACCACGGCGGCAAATTCTTTGTTTATCAGATTAAATTTACAATATAACGATTTCCCAAAAATATTTAACACAAGCTGTGAACTCCCGATGTGAACGTCGACTGGTTTAGATTAATTTTGTTATGAAATAGGAACGAAAATGGCAAAAGAATATAATATCTTAAAGAAACTAAAATTGTTACTTTAACAAACAAACAAAAATCACATTCTGAAAATAGTTATTCAGAATGTTATATCAACAGACAAAAAAAATACTCGTTCCGATAAAATAATCGTTTACTAGTTCCAATGCATGAAATTCCTGTACAATTACCCATAAACTCCAATGTCCCCACAGACTTTTAACAGATCTACATGTATTACAAATAGACCATTGCTGCCGCGGAATGATATAGTGCTGAAGTATACAGTGCCTACCAACATATGTTTTCCCAATTTGATAACACGTCACCATGTATACCTGAGCGACGAGAGGACGGTACTGGGGGTGCCGGGAGACCCGTGCTTGGAGGTGGGCGTGGCGTTAGTCGTCACACTGGGAAGGTTACTGGACATCTCACTTCCAGAGGAAGACTGCGCTGTGACACGTGGCTCCGGCGACGTCGACAAATTCAAGTCTTGGCTTGCACTGAAATTGTTTACAGAACGTAGACGGCATCCAATGAAAATCTTTTTATTTAAGTTGACATACTTACATGGGCTTATTGGAAATTAATACCATTTGCATTTACGTGTTTTTATTTGTGTATTTTATTTAGTTATCAGATAATTATTTTCAAGTTTATCTTTTTCGCCCGTTGACACGACTGTTTCATAAATTAAGTGTCTTTAAAATATGCCTTAAATTAACGTCCCTACATTTACCGGGAACCTACTTTAGGTTTGATGTGACGGTGTCGCTGCAGGCTGAGGAGGGAGTGGTCGGGGTCTTGGGACACTCCGGTGTCAACAGATTGGGGTCGTCCACTGAAACAAAAAAGCAAATTGATGTTTTTCGCCGTAGTCAAGAAGGCATTGTCCCAATAGTTGGGTTTTTTTCATTTAGGTCACTCTTAATAAATCGTTCCGATGCTGCTTTTTTTTCTTCTGAGTGAGTGAGTTCGGTTTAACGCCGCTTTTAACAGTATTTCAGTTATATCGCGGCGTGTCAGCTTAATGTGGGAAGAAAGCCCTCAGTGATGCAGGTCTCAGACGTTTACCACTTCGGTGAAACCCATGAGCACGGGTATGGTGCTGACAAACCTACAAACAATCAGGGCGAACGGGATTCGAACCCACAATCATAGGTTTCTGGCGTGCCCAAGGGACGCAACTCTGCTCAGCGAATCGCGGCGCCTTAGACGACTGGGTCACCCATGCCTCCTTTTCTTCTGAAGCACGCATGATGTTACGGACTTCTTTTAAATTTCCGTAAATTTAAATATTAGGATAGTACTTGAAAAAAATCGAATTTACAGGTATTATAGAGATTTCAATTTCTTTTGATTCTTTGCTGAAATTGAGAAGCGACTACATTTTGGCTCAAAAATTGTGTAGCATAATATAAACCTGCTCGAACATAAATTCTTTTGATCAGTTATATCAAGGCCGTTGCATATGTATACTACAAAGAAGTTAAGGAACACACGATGTTTACATATGACTAGTTAAACCTATCATGCCATGCTTTGCATTTATAAAGCTTTATGTAATGCCGCACTCTGAAATATTCAAGCTATATGACGGCCTGTACATAATCGAGTCTGAACCAGACAAACCAGTGATTGATATTATGAGCGACGTCTCACGCAGTCGGATTATGTTGACCATGCAATCAACTACGGAGTCGACCACCCTATCCACTGATTCACCCATGAGGACAAGTTTTGGTTGCTGGGAACCTAATTTATCCAAGTAGTACCACGCGCTAAGACCTAGAACAGGTTGCTATGGGAGGATTCGTTGTAAAGCCGTGTCTGGCCTAACCGTGCATTAACTCATGTAACTGGTACCAGTCGTGAAAAACATGTGAACAGTCGTATCTTGACTGCATCTACAGTTGCGTTGATAAGGCAGTAGCCACCTTTTTTGGTTTTGTTTGTTGTTCAACGCTTCACTCGGTTTAATTCCAGCTACATGACGACGCCTGTAAATAATGGAGGCTGGACCAGACAATACAGTGATTGATGTTGTGAGCAACGTTCCACGCCGTCGGGGTACGATGATACGCAATCAACCAAGTTACCGAGCCTGTCCACACAATCAATTTAGTCGCCTGGTACGTTCTATTCTAACCAAGAACTCCCACAGGCGCGAATACTTTTGTTAATAGATTCTTGATTAATAACATCCCAGATGACGCAGGCCGGACATTTCTACAACTCTAAAGACAAACGCAGCCGAAATGAGAAACAAAGGAGCGTTATCGGAATCTGTCTGGCTTTTGAAGCCACCAACAGCAGATCCAACCAAGGCTAATGGACAGAGCTTAACTAATCATGTCAAGGCCGTAGTTAACTTTTTTTGACAGGGGGGCAAATAAGATTAATCATTTCTTATTCAAGGAAAAATGTTTTCTATAAAAAAAATCCAGGGGGTCAATTATTTGTATATTCACACCCGGATTCCCCACGGAGAGATGGCCATGTATGTGGACAGAGTAAAATAAATATATGATTTAATACTTTGTACTTTTAATTTTTAACAATTAATAAATGGGGAACATCCTTTTTACTAATACAAGATGTTATATGTCTGCCAAAATCTGACCGTTTGATTACAGCTTGAGCATGAGCGATTTTTCTCATCTTTGTACTACTTTTGGATTACATCTGTTTCGGATGAATATTCAGTGTGTATGGCTGTAGAAAATGTCAATAATTTAAGCATTTATTTTTTAGAAGAATGAGTGAGTTAAACAGTTCAGTTATACGAGGGGTATCAGAAAGAGTGGAACCTGACATATCTAGGTTGTTGTTATGCTTACGCGGGATATACATTGGTATTGACCCGTGGTCGCTTTGTCCATTCAGTCCAGCGCCGCTTAGGTACTCGACTTCTTGGCATTGAAATGCCACAAAACTGAGTATAAAGCAATCATCAAATGTTTTACCTTGAATATTGTTTATGGAGAGGCTGACCCATCATGTGCCGTTATTAACCGCTGAGAGAAGGAATTTCAGCGCGAGAGAGATAGTTTGGAAGATGACCCTCGCTCTAGTTGACCCACTAACAACATCATAGAAGAAAGCAAACGGACAATGAACAATAAGCGCATTAAACTTCATTGACTAGAGTTAGTTTGGTTTAACGCAGCTTTGAACAATATTTCGGTTATATCACGGATTGTTTGTTTGTTTGTTTGTTGTTTAACGCTGCACTCAGCAATATTCCAGCCATATGTCGGCGGTCTGTAAATAATCGAGTCTGGACCAGACACTCTAGTGATTGACGTCATGAGCAATTGGGATACGATGACATGCATCCACCAAGTCAGCGAGCCTGAACACCCGATACCTTTAGTCGCCTCTTACGACAAGCATAATCGCCTTTTATGGCAAGCATGGGTTGCTGAAGACCTATTCTATCCCGGAATCTTCACGGGTCATATCACGGATTGACAGCTTAATGTGTGAGGTAAGCCCTAAGTGATGCAGTATAGTTAAGCACTTTGGTAAAACCCACGAGCAGAGGTATGGTGCTGACATCCCTAGAAACATAAACGGGCGGACCGGGATTCGAACCCACAATCAAGGGACGCAACTCCGCGCGGGAGAGAGAGTTTGGAAGATACCCACCTCTGGTAGACCCACCACCATCAAAACATTCCTTGTTGTGACACCGTCAACAACCTGATATTGAACGCAATACTCTCTGTGGTCTAGAGTGAGTGAGTGAGTGAGTGAGTGAGTGAGTATGGTTTTACGCCGCTTTTAGTAATATTCCAGCAATATCACGGCGGGGGACACCATGGGCTTCATACTCTGTGGTCTTGAGGACACCACAAGCCTCAAGTAAGGGCCAATAGAAACAAGCCTTCATCAACACGTATATATGTCGGAGGACAGTGCCCGATGGGTTCTTGCAGTGGTGTCGGGTAAATTGTAGGGCTGGGGTTTGTATCGAGATTAAATATTTTTTTCAGCTACAGATACAAAAAAATATGTTTTTTGTGTGTGTAATATTTAACACTTTGAGCCTCAATCTTATTCTATGGAATAATACCTATCAACAACGTAATATTTAACTAACGCAATTACCTTTTATTCTCAACAGTCTGAAGCATAATATTTTTTCAAGACTTTTCGGGGACTATTTTGCATCAATCGGTCTCCAATGCATCATTTCAAAATGTCTGACAAAGAGGGGCCAAAACTTTTCAATCTAACCACGAATGTCGGTACTTCTTTGTGTCTACATTGTTTTACAGTGTATTACTATAACGGATGTAATTACAATGTTGCTATTTCTCCTGACTTTTTGACATTGTATTGGGCGAGTTACCAATCAGCGATGCCCAAACGTGTAATATTTCAGATACAACATATGCGATATCTGAGAGGCATTTGTTGCCATGAAAACATCAAAGGAAATAATACCGGCTATTGGAAAAACAATGTTATTTTCCTAAGTTTTAAATGAAGCTATCGGGTAAAACACTGAACCGTCAAATCGAATCCACGTTGGAAATAGAACGATACGTCACGGCGAGCTGACGTGTTAACGACCATCCTAACCGAACATTTCGGGCTCCACACTTGTAGGTAATAACAAGTGCGAAAACCCGCATACGGGTTACAGTGTCACTCTCGAATATCGATTTTACTGATCCATGAGCCGTCCAAGTGCAAAGCTTGTCTGCCACGAGCGTTCCGAACACGTGCGGGTATACATAGTGCACGCTCGGCGTCTCACCATGCACGGTCTGCACGGACGTCCATTTCATGTATTTTTGCCTCACTATGGTCTTCGATAACGGCCCCACCAACACCTCGTCAATGCCATGCAGCCGTAAGTCAACTGAAACAGGAAGTGAATTAAAGGGTATCAGAATCAAACTATGTTCAAGTTTCGTGCCCATGTCCATCTCATAGCTTCTTTGTAAATATTACTGTCAAACTGTCAAATTTCCATACATAAATACGGCAGACAAACAATTTGGTTGTTTCAAAGACTTACAAAGCCAACTTCATTGCCTGTCAAACTGGTATACATAAACACAATGTGAGTTGGGAGAAAAGACAAACTGTTATTTGCACGACTAAAATCACACGTGGTGGGACTGCCAATTTACCAAAGCGAAGTCCCCCTTTAACAAACACCTGACCTTGCTGGAGCGATCAACAGGCGATCTCAGCGCTACCAGTGTCGTAGTCAATGTTAATGTATGGCAGTCACTGGGTTCTTTCAACCAAATACAATAATACGTTTTTATAACTGGCCGCTTCCCTTCCTAATGGAACGGAAGGCCAATGTTTTGATCCTCGGGCCGCCTCATACCAAACTACTTTTGTACTTGATTGAACTGGAAACTTCCCTGCATATCTTAGGCTTTTACTACTTTGGGAAAACCCATGTGCACGGTATGTAGCTGACAAACCTAGAATCATTACCATGGCGAATATGGGATTTCAACCCGCGATCATCAGATTCTAGTCGGCACACCACTAATAGCTTTAGTCGAAATTCTGGTTGTATGATTGAAATATTGCGGATATTTGGCGTTAAGGAAGGAACACATTGGACATTACCATCAGGTTGAATGTCTGCTATTCCCAGAATGATGGTCCCACGGTTGGACTTGCTGGCGTATCTGTGATAAAGACAAGATGGGTGTGTTAACGCGGCAGGGTGTTACCCTGCTTTACCGAAACATGAACATCCGGGTTAGAATTGGTCTTCAGCAACTCATGCTTATCCCAAGAAACGACTAACAGGATCGGGTGGCCAGGCTCCCCGACTTGGTTGATGCATGTCATCGTATCCCAGATGCGTGGATCGATGTTCATGATATCAATCACTGGACTGTCTGGACCAGACTCGATTATTTACAACAAACAATCAAAGGCCACAGTCAGATACATTTCAGTTACGTCATGGCGGGATGTTAATAATTGAGCATGTTCCATACAAACGTGTGGTTGATACTATGAGACACGCCCCTCGATAGATGGCAAGTGATGGAGCCTGACCATCCAATACAATTTAGTCGCCACTGATTTTACCAACCCTGGGTAACGCTGAGCTCCAGATAACTGTTTTACCCACTGAATATTTAACATTAATAATTTGAGTATATGTTCATAGACCCCATTACTTGGTCATAGTCACTTCAGCTTGAAAACTGTGTAAGAATCTAAATGGAAACGTCCCTATATGCGATAAACCAGAAGTTGTCCATAAAGTTGTATGTTTTCTTACTAGTGTTGTTGTTTTCACTTTTTCATGCGTATTATACGCAAGGAACTCAAAATCAACTAGGTTATGTAATTAACGCAGTATTTCAGGGTTTTTTACGCAAATACGTATCTTATCTTGAGCTTTGGTTACTGCGATGAAATTTAATTTTATACTTCTTAAAGGTTGGTTTGTTGTTTACCGCCGCATACAGAAATATTCCAGCTATATGACGGCGGTCTGTAAATAATCGAGTCTGAACCAGACAATCCAGTGACTGATATCATGAACATCGATACACGCAATTGGGATACGATGACCTGCATCAAGCAAGTTAGCAAGCCTGACCACCCGATCCCGTTAGTTGCCTCTCACGACAAGCATGGTCGCCTTTTACGGCAAGTATGTGTTGCTTAAGCCCCCATTACACAGGGCTGCGACCTTTGTGCCACCTTCGAGCGATCAAAAACTGGCTAGGACGGTCAATGGTCGCCCAAACCCAGAAAATCATGTTTCCATGTAACTGCTCCAGCAGTTGTTCAGCAGTAACTGCTCGAGTTGTTCAACGCATGCAACCACAATGAAACACTGCAGGTACAAGCACTCTATTTTATAGGCAGACTGAGGAGGGACTACAGGTAGCTCAAAGGAGGCAGAAAAAGAGGCAGAAGTATTGCCGTGGTGTCTCAAGTGTTGCCGTGGTCGCCGAATGGAGGCACGGCGGTTGCCATACTCATCGTTCAATGCACGCTGTTGGTCGCCCAAAGAAGGCACAAGGGAGGCAGAAGCATCGCCCAGATTTACGGGACAACATTTCAGCAGACACATCTATTACCTGACGACCATTGGGCGACCACTGGGCCTTCTTTCTGTAACAACGGCAATACTTGTGCCTCCCTTCTGCCTCCTTTGAGCAATCAACGTCCTCGGCGACCTTTGTGCGACTGTTTTGAACATGTTCAAAACTTCACGGCGACCATGGCGTCCATGGCGAAGTCTGAACCTCCTGTGAACCACCTAGGAACGACCTAGGCAACCATTCTGCCTCCTTTGAGCCTCCAACGACGAACTGGCAAATTCTATGGTCGCACACGGGAGGCACAAAGGTCGCCATCCTGTGTAAAGGCCCCATTTATACCTATTCTACCCCGGATCTTCACGGGTTCATGAAATTATGCATGCCAACAACGCTAAGGTGTCTCGTTGCTGAAAATCAAGTCATAAATATTCAAAACGGGTAAACAGAAAAACAAGTGATAAAAACCGTATTATGATTAAATCATCATTTGCTTTGAAACGATTTGTCCATCAAAACTGGTTTTAAAGGAAGCTGCAAAACTTAAGCAAACATAAGCCTATTTTCAACCAATCAGGTCGAAGGATATCTTGACTGCGCGCCGTGTTTTACCTAATGGAGGTGGAGAGACTCAAAGTCTCTTGGTTGGCTGGCACGGTCATTTTCATCCATATCAGCTGATACACGTTGTTGTTGCAAGCATCGAATGTCTCCTCGTGCCTGTAGGCGTGCACTTCGTGCTCCAGCACAACCTGGCCGATGAGCTCGCGCAGTCTAGCGCTTTCCTGCCCGTCCGCCACAACCAGTGACTTGAGCTCTGATTCTGTGATCTGGGAACAAATATATGGCCATAGGTTAAACCGTACCGTTTTCAGTGACAATTGGATTTCGGGAATATTTTCATAGTGCGCTACTTACAACTTCTAAAACAAGTGAGTAACTTATTTTGTTTTCAATACTGTAAAAAAATGAGTTATTTTGTTGTGTTTTTATCCCTCAAGAATGGGTTGAGTGGATTCTTCGTTTTCTTTCATCGTTTATCGTTACTTTGATACACCCCTTGTGATTAAGGCTGATACCTTCTTTATACTCATACCTTGCCTCACAAGTTACTTTCAGTTGGTAACAAAATAGTCACGTTAACTTCCCAGCTGATGTGCAACTTGTTAAGTTTGCTTGCTTCTAACTTCCCGTAACGTTGTTTAATTAACATGTATTATGTTTATTTTATTTCTATTTGTTTTATTTTATTACATGGTCTTGTCAATGAGTGAATTAGTTGGTTTTAATGCCACTTTAAACAGTATTCCAGTTATATTATGGTATGTCAGCTTTACGGTGGGAGGAAAGCCCCAAGTGATGCCGGTCTCAGACGTTTACCATTGTAGTGAAAACCCACGAGCACGGGTATGTGCTGACAACCCTAGAAACAATCGCGGCGAACAGGGATTCGAACCCACGATCAGAGGTTTCTGGCGTGCCCAAGAAATGCAACGCATTAGACGACTGGGCCACCCGTTGAGTTGTCATGGATACAAGAATATACCGAAATATGGACGTGTAGTTTGTAGTGTTTATACCACACATATCAACTGTTACCATCGTGAACATTATGTCACGCTGTATAAACTACCAGATCACAATATCAAGCAGCACATTGAGGGGCAAACTTGGCGCCAGTTTATGAATTAAATAAAAGCGCGTCTGAAACGGCAGTTTTGTAAGGACTACGGGACTAGTGCCAATTTCTAACGCTGACTGGGCAAATATTGACAAGATACTGGAGAAATTGCACAATGATAGGATAGAAAGTCAACGATCACACCTACTTCAAATTTCATTTTCTGCTGAAGCGTCACGTTTCTAGAGTGTTCGTATCACGAGCAACTCCCTTCGAACTGCTGTCAGAGCGTACATGTAACACTTTTCAGACATCACTGTCTGCACGTGTTCGATCACGCGCTTGTACAAAGCCGCACGGCACGTGCAAATTAAATGCGGGCGTATTCTAACGGTGAATCCGTGGAATGTTTTCCAAATGTCGATCGTATTGACTACTTGAAACTTTCATAATCTGTAACGACAATAAGGTGAGGTGAGACGAAATGGGGGTTTAACGTCGCGTCCAAGATATTAGCGCTGATATAGCGACGTGCATGCGCGTGTGTGTGGCTGCTTGTTCTAGTCCGGACTGATGCCGATTTATAGTGCTAGTCCACTGCGATACCATGCTGCAGTTTAACATGAATACCCCACTCAGACACAGAATACTGACTCCGAGCCGATCAGTCCTTGTTTTAGCCCCTTAATGCCGAGCGCCAGACAGGGTAACAACAAGTACCATCTTTTAACGTCTTTTAGGTATGACGCGGCCGGACCTTCCGCTCTCCGGGCGGTCGCTCTACCACTCGACCATGGAGGCGTTCGTAACGACAATGAGATCAGCCAGTTCGAGTGTGATGGAATTGGTTGTTCGAGTTAATACTACAACAGCATGTTTGAGGCATGGATGGGGATTTGGATTGCACCAAAGAAGGCATTAACCAACCCTGTTATCATGTGTAGGTCTCCAGAACCCTGTACATGCGGTAAGGGCCGACTACAATGAGGACGGGGTAGTCACAGTGGGACAAGAGCTGAATGTGTCATTGTACCCCAAAGGGGTGGATCGTAAAAATCAAGGATTTGCCTGCTTATGCAGACTCAATTGTGGAAACCGCAACAGCTCTGCATAATCCAACATTCGCACACTCATTAATAGAAGTAGGATAATGAACGGCAAGGTGAAATTGGGTTTAACGTCGCGTTCGGGATTATTGCGCTGACGTACGTACGTGTTTGCACGTGCATGTCCTGACATGCCGGATTTAGTGCTAGCCACTGCATGAGATATATCATGGCTACCATACCCCTACACATTGTACAGATTCCGAACCGGCATGTCCTTGCTTTATCGCCTCAATGATGAACGCCAGGCCGAGCACGGTAATAAAAAATACCATCTTTTGACGTATTTTGGTCTGACGCGACCACCGACCTTCCGCTCTCCTGCCAGACGCTCTTATAACTACACCACGGAGCTGATAGTTCCGAAGATTATTCTCGACAGGAACTGAAATGGTTGGTGAGGTGTTAATTGTTCTGGTACAGCAGAAGCCGAGCATTGTATAGAAGCTAAATAACCTACAGCTTTTATAATATTAAAAGCGTCCGTCCGGAGAGCGGAAGGTCCGGGGTTCGATCCCCGACCGCGTCATACCAAAAGACGTTAAAAGATGGTACTTATTGTTACCCTGTCTGGCGCTCGGCATTAAGGGGCTAAAACAAGGACTGGTCGGCTCGGAGTCAGTATACTGTGTCTGAGTGGGGTATTCATGTAAAACTGCAGCATGGTATCTCAGTGAGCTAGCGCTATAAATCGGCATCAGTCCCGACTAGTACAAGCAGCCACACAAACACACACACGTACATGCACGTCGCTATATAAGTGCAATAATCTTGGACGCGACGTTAAACCCCATTTCACCTCACCTATAATATAAAAATGGTGTACTACTGTAGAAAAACAACAGGAATACTTATTAATAAATCTACCTTCAATTCGGGAGTATCCCGGCCAGGTGGGATAGCTCGGCTGTTGACTGTGGGGGGTACGCCGGGGTAACCATTCGTAAAACCAGGTGATTGTTCGGCCTGAAGCAGACAAACAACAGACGCACGATAGGCAGGAGTGGGCGAGAGAATGAGTATGGTTTTACGCCGCTGTTAGTGGTGAACTTAGAAATTCTTTAACTTCAACATTTGTGCGACCCAAAACTTGAAAAATACTTCATGGATTCTTTTCCAGTTGGGGCTACCACACCACAGCAGATGCTTGGGAGTGAATGTGTAGTTGTTGCCTTACGCCAATGTCTAATACAACTGTTGTATCACGATGGCCTGTGAACACCCTTTGAAATACGCGCTGGTCCACAAGCCCGGGACAACCACTTTGTTTGTTGTTTAGTATACTCTGCAATAGTCCAGCTAAATGACGGTGGTCTTTAAATAATCGATTCTGGACCAGACAATCCAGTGATTGACATGCAATTTGGATACGATGACATGCATCGATCAAGTCAGCGAAAATTGTTTTACACACACACAGACTTAAACCATACACATATTCACGATGCGATGCGATGCGATGCGATGCGATGCCGCAAGGTATTGCCAACTCTACTACTCAACTTTTGATAATCAGTATCATGTTTGACATATTATGATCAGTGTTGTGTATCGTAGAAAGATAAAAAATATCCCTATCAAAAGTGGGGTAGTATACAATTCTACAACTATTCATTATGGTAATTCATATTTCGTATATCTCATGCACCAATTTATCGTTCAGGGTCGACGCACACCTCTTCCAACAATAACCGATTTGACAATATGAGACTCATTTGGATAACATTTCAAGGAAATGCCGTGTCGTCCAATGGCATTCGTCGTCATTAAAAGTTATGAATGGCTTATGCGGTAAAGAGAAATACAACAGTTATACCACAGTCGGCTTTAAACCCAGAATGGTGAGTTTGAGACAGTTGGCGCAGTTATATGCACTATAACTATTATACCACGGCCGGTTGTAAACCACGGAATGGTCGGTCAGTGACTGAGTTGGTTTAACGCCGCTTTAAACAATATTCCAGTTATATCACGGCGTGTAAGCCTGACGTGGGGGGAAAGCCCGAAGTGATGTAGGTCTCAGACGTTTACTACTTTGGTGAAACCCAAGAGCACAGATATGGTGGGGACAAACAAACATAGGTTTCTGGCACAGCGAGTTGCGGCGCCTTCCATGTCCCCGGAATGGTCAATAAGAGAAGGTTGACACCGTCATTGTTAAAGTGAAGATAGAGAAATCAACAGACAAATCCGACACTGACACAGTAGTCGATGGTGTGAGCAACACTATGTCACCGATTAAAATTCTAGACAATTAAGAACAAAGCGTTGTTTATTCCACGATAAAACATTGTTCTATCATGACGTCATTTCTGGAGATTCGAACTCGCAACGACGACGTCATTTCTGAGAGGTAAGTGTCTTGTGAGTTGAGTTGTTCCCATTAGATGGAGCTGGGCAACGTAAACGCAATGGTCGAACTACCGCACCCCAATCGGTATTTGGAGAATAAGGTACAGACAATCGACGAGAAGATTGTGAGAATATGCGGGAAATACCAAATGTTATCCCCCTTTTCATATAATGGACTTGTCCGACATGGCCGAGGTCGGATTGTATTCAGGGAGTCATCCTCATGGAACAACGGGCACATATATTTTTAAAGCTTGTATGTACATTTTATTTAAATCCTTAAAGAGACTGTACATAATGTTCATATCTCGTTAAACAAGTAAACGACCGGTAGAAGTAGTTTATCATACAATAATTGCCTAGTATGCCCCTCGTTGTTTATTCTCCCTGCAGTGTTTTTTGTACGAAAAACAATTCCCACTTGTCGTTTGCTTCAAAGTCAATCCCCTGCACAAAAGACTGACAAGATACTGAAGGGTGACTTGGGCAATAATTTCTCTTACATTTTGCCGTTTTAGTACAGTTTTATCAGAGAGGACATCAAAGAATGGCCAAATCCGGAATCGAACCAGATTCGTGGCGAAACACTGGACTACGAAACCACCGATCTACTGAAAAAAACCGATATTTTCTTGTTGTTTAACGCCGCACCCAGCAATATTCCAGCTAAATGACGGCGGTCTGTAAATAATCGAGTCTGGACCAGACAATCAAGTTTCTGACATCATGAGCATCGATCCCCGGAATTGGGGTACGATGACATGCATCAACCAAGTCAGCGAGCCTGACCACCCGATTCCTTTAGTCGCCTCTTACGACAAGCATGGGTTGCTGAAGAATCGGTTGGTCTTTAACTCCTTTCAGTACAATGGTATACATACGTTAACATCCTCGGTTGTCACCCTTGTATCTCCTAACAAACTGGAGACACAATACCCTTGATAATCGAGGATGATACCTTGTATGACTCCAACTAAGAAAGTGGGTAAATGGGCCATGAAGAGTGCGTTAAGACGCCAATCGTATAAGCACATGAAGAATGAGCGAGTGATAAACGTCACATAACGGCGAGTTGTTCACAGAGTGAGTGAGCGAATATTCGTATTAGGCCTTGTCGTCATCAAAGAACAGTTCCCTGCCATGGCCTTGCTGATTCTGTACCCTACATGGTATGTCAGTGGGCAAGCACTATAAAACCGGCATTAAGTCCAGATTAACTCGCGCAACGCGCGCACACACAAACACACAAGCTCTTAGACGTTCTCCACCTTTGGGAGTGTGAGTATGGTTTTACGCCGCTTTTAGCAATATTCCAGCAATATCACAGCAGGGGACACCAGAAATGGGCTTCACACATTGTACCCATGTCGGAAATCGAACCCGGGGCTTCGGCGTGACGAGCGAACGCTTTAACCACTAGGCTACCCGACCGACCCCCACTTTTGTGACACCACCTAATACAGGTATGATGCTTACAAACCAAGCATCATAATCGGAGCGGATCTGCAATTCTTTTTCACTTTGTACAGCGAATTCCGGGGCCTTGGAAAAGTGGGTCACCAGTGCCTCCTCGTCTTCGTCCCACATAAAAGCATTGGTTCAACTACTGGTAATCCATTCTGGCCCAGAATACTCATGGAAAATGTGGTGCAAGGTTTCACGGCGACACGGTGAATTTGTACTTACAATGTCAGTGAGTGAATATGGTTATACGCCGCTGTAAGCAATATTGGGCAACCGAACCAGGCCTTCGGGTTGACGAGTGAACGCTTTAACCACTACGCTTACACCGCCCCATATTTACGTCGTTCGGTTTCGGAAACCATGACTCTCTTATAAAGGTAGCCAAATGCCTTGTCAATAACTTTGTCATGCACCGGAAGAGATTAACGAAATTCACAGTGTCCCGACCTACAATCCAGAAATAGGCGCCGCTGTCATATTGCCGGAATATTTCAGAGTGCGGCGTAAAACAACAAACCTTCATGTATCAACCAGCTGATGAGTTTGGTTTAACGCCGCATTGAACAATATTAAAGTGATGTGATGACGCGTCAGCTTGATGTGCGAGGAAAGCCAGGTAACCCTGTGCTTCAAGGGCAATTTATGCGTTTGTTTTCTTACATTTGATCGAAACAAGTCGGTTACCCAGTTTGGTTGTGACGTTTGTTTCTGGAGCAGAACTTATAGACTCGGTTTGCTATTTCTCCACGAAACTATGGAGAGATGGGTTATTGTTACGTTAGTGAGTGAGTTGTGTTAAACGCCGCTTTTAACAGTATTCCAGTTATATCACGGCGTGTCAGCCTAATGTGGGAGGAAAGCCTGAATGCAGCTTACCACTTTGGTGAAACCCACGAGCACGGGTATGGTGCTGGCAAACCTAGAAACATAATCGGGGCGAACCGGGATTCGAATCATAGGTTTCTGGCGTGTCCAAGGGACGCAACTCTGCACAATAGCGGCGGGGAGAGGACAACAGAAATACACTTCATACATTGTAACATGTGGAGAATCGACCCGGGTATTCGGTGTTCGAACGCTTTAACCACCAGGCTACCCGACACACACTCCAGATTAGAATATCATCTCCGATCACCCGAGCGTCACACATACACATCATTACGACATATCTACATGGCGTTCACATCTAAATGGCTTTCACCGAGTGACACGTAATGTGCATGCATCATCGCACAGCTTGATACAGATTGATTCAATGTAAGTAAATGAGTAGATTTAACGTCGCTTGAACAGTATTTTGATTATGTCACGGCGTGGTAGCATGAGGAAAGCCCCAAATGACGTAGGTCACAGATATTTACAGCTTTGGTGAAACCCACGAAAGTCTAGACCAGACAAACCAGTGATGGGTGTTATGAGCACCCTCCCATGCCGTCCGCGCCGGTACAACTGCACGCAATCAACCATTCACCACCGTTCTATTCATTCGCGCTTCGAACGACACGCTGGGGACTGCCTTATACGAGTGTCGACTCGTGAATATCGGGGTTTGAATAGGTCAACAACCCATGCATGCAGTAAAAAGCGACTATGATTGTCGTAAGAGGCGACTAACGGGATCGGGTGGTCAGGCTCGCTGACTTGGTTGATGTCTGGTCAAGACTCGATTATTAACAGACCGCCGTCATATAGCTGGAATATTTCTGAGAGCGGCGTTAAACAACAAACCAACAAAACATGTACGAGTGTTGATTGAAAAGTCTCACACAAAAGGTAATGTGTATGGTGAATTATTTTGTTGTGGACATTAAATGATGTTATAGAGGCATATCCGCACAGAGATTGAGTCGGTTGAGCAAATTGTTTCGCTGTGACAAGTCAGTAAAATTAGCGGGCACCAAGTGACCTTTGGAAAAAGGACAAACTCAAGGAACGTGCAATGATCAAGTACTTGAGGAAAAAAGGCTTAACACCAAACGTCATCCATGAGTGAGTGAGTGAGTATGGTTTAACGCCGCTTTTAGCAATATTCCAGTAATATCACGGCGGGGGACACCAGAAATGGGCTTCACACATTGTACCCATGTCGGGAATCGAACCCGGGTCTTCGGCCTGACGAGCGAACGCTTTAACCACTAGGTTACCCGACC